CTAAGTCTCACAGCTGTTGTGTGGTCATGGTCCGGGGACAGGCCATTATCCCTAAGTGGTGGCTCACTGCAGGATGCAAGTTCTGGAGGAAGAGAGTTCTGAAGTTCAACTCCTCCTCCATTTCTGGCTCGTTCCATGATCTGAAGTAGGCCTGCCGGAGTCGGTTGCAATAGGCCTGTGGTGTTTCTTGCCAGCCCTGTTTGAGGTCCATGATCAGTCCTTGTTCAGACTCTGGGTCAAAAAACTCTCTGATCAAGGCTAGTTGTAACTGCTGGTAATCCGATCTGACAGTTTCTGGCTTCCGATCCAGGAAACTTCGTACCTCACGACTGGAGGTGATCCTAAGCAGGTACAGTCTGTCCTTTGTGGTCACAGTTGGCCACAGTTGCAAATGAAAGTTAATGTCCTGCAGGTAAGTGTGTATGTAGTGACCTCCTGCAGGGTTTGGTGTGAATGGGGGAATGTTTCTGGCCAGCTTGTCAAGGTCTTTGGGAGCTATGCCATGACTGGTAGCAAGGATGTTCAGGAAGGGTTCCCACCTCCTTACTGCTGATGGGGGATCGCAGATCGCAGACCGATATTGCATTGGCAGACATATGGTGGATGTGTGGATTAGAATATGGCCTCTTGACAACATAAAGGCAAATGGAAATTCTAAGATGTCAAGATAATGAGAAATTGATTTTGAAGAGTAACCCAAATGTACATTACCAGGACTGGGCTTATGCACCCAACTTGAAGTCACAAACATTGACAAATGATGGAGACTCTAGTTCCTCAACTGAGGACGAAGAAGAAGTATAAAGATGAACCATACCCTGGGTGTAAGTGCTAGCCTAACCTCTGCCCAAGGGTGGCATTGCACGCTCATGCTTATAACATTGTTTTATCTTAAATGAGGGATTAGGGAGACGGGATCTTTTACTCCCTCCTAGTCAAGTGTGGGGGGAGAGTTTGTAGAATTGTAGAATTGTTTTGTAGAATTGTATATAAGAGGGTACAGAAAAAGAGTCTGGAGATTGCTCTGCAGAGTTCTCTCAGGTTTTATTGTCTCTGAAAATAAAATCTCTTCTGGCATCAAAACCCCAAGACTTTGAGAAAGATTCTTCACAGCAGCGGCAGATAATAATAATAATAATAATAATTCATTTAAATGCAGCCGTTACCCCGGAAACCCTGTAAACAAAGCAGCGGTACTACTTTCTGTTTCTGAATCGTGTTTAAATGATTTAAACAGCCATTCAGATTTGTGTATTTGCTATGATGTTCATCACAAGACTTGTATTTTTTAAACAAAGATTAATAACTTATGTAACAAATGTAGCTATTGCTCATTGTGAATGTTAATGCATTAACTAAGTTTAACTAATGAGGTCTTATTGTAAAGTGATACCTATTGGTCTTTATAGTTCTTTTGCACTTTAATCTGTGTAAAACTTTTAACTTTATACATTTTTCTGTATTGCTTTATTGCATTTAAATGTTCAGTTATTTTTGTTATAAGAAAAAAGTTATTAAACCTGTTATACTGTATTATGACAGCACTTTTTTAAACTAAATTTCAATATCGTGATAATACCGCATACCGTGATAAAAGCATTAGCAATTAATCGCAACATGAAAATTTGATACCGGCATATCCCTAGTATCCACTGAATGTAAACAGCATCTGCTATTCTGTGTCAGCTGCGTCACGCGGATACGTTGTTTTCATTCAAATCAAAGCGTAAACAATGTAGAAAAACGTATCCGCATAACGCGGATGACATGAAGAAACAGAACATACTGAGACAGACAAAATTCAGAAGAACTGTGGCAACGTCTCTAAGATGCTTAAAGGGGTCATCGGATGTCCATTTTCCACAAGTTGATATGATTCTTTAGGGTCTTAATGAAAAGTCTGTAACATAGTTTGGTTAAAATTTCTCAATGGTAGTGTAAAACAACACCGTTTTTACCCTGTCAAAAACAGCTCTGTCTACAGCACGCTGTTTTATTGCATTCCGCTTTAAATGCTAATGAGCCCCTCTCTTCCGAAGCCGCTCACTGAGAGACGGTAAACTTTAGCCGCATTCATTGCAAAACTCGCTAACTTCCACATTATTAGGAAAGGCGATTCGCAAAGATTCATTAAAAACCTTACACTCACATCTTCTGGGAGGTGAAGCTGGATCACAAATGTTTAGGAGTCATTCTTGTCTACATCTGCTCCGGTGGTGAAACAATGGCGGACTGATGACAGCTCACTCAGGGCGGGTCTAAGGTAAGACACCAGTCCAGTCTGTGCTGAAACGCTACTGTCAATCAAACTATCGTGGGAGGGGCCTGTCTGTGTGACATCACACAGACAGGCATCTGAGATCGGCTCGATTTGAGAAAGGGGAAAACATTTAAC